TCGGAGCTTAGGTGCGTATATATGGACGCAGTCCATCTAGAGATCTTGGGTGAAGGCATTACGTATGCCCTTGCATTAGTAAGAGCCGTAATGCAGCCGTCTGAGCACTTCTAATTTGAATCAAATGGTATCTATACAGAATAAGTAGCAATCATTTTCTCAATACCGACTACGGGGAAACGGGAAGCGCGTGCAGGCAGAACGCTTTTCACCGGGCGGAATCGAACCGCCAACTCCCCGGTCTCGAGCGGATGTTCTGCCGCTGCAGCGATATATTTTCTGGCTGTCCGGGCTTCCCGAATTCCCGTATCAAGATTAAGAAAATAGTTGTTACCTACTAAAGTCTACTGTTTATACCAAATTTTACATCTGAATCAAAATTAGGATAGCATACAGTATATATGATATCCCAAGAAATGTTGACTGAAATTCTGAAACATGTTTTCAGTTCGAACAGCTTATTCAGGTTAACTTGTCATATTAATCATCAAGTGGCATGATGTAAAGATATTCCAGTCACGTCAAGATGCCGGCTTTCGAACGACCGCTCGCATAAAATATTTTATGCGAAAATGAATACTTAAGCGGCATGGGTTCTTTCCGTTGATTTTGGATACTCTTATAAACTCGAATAAACTTTTGAGCACATGCACAAAAATATTTTTTTTTCATTTGGTAGCAAATTACTTGAAGGAAGAGTATCTCTCGGATTAAAAAACCTCCTCAGCTTCCAAATAATTTTGAAGCCGACTTGCCGTTACGCATGCATTCCGGGTTTCTAAACGACAAGCTGTATACTTCCCTTGTAAAGGAAATCCTACATTTCCGTATGTTAGCAGGAGGAAGACATATAGGTCTCATTCAATTTTGTAATGGATGTGGACTACGTTGTCTATTTTATAAGCAGCATCGGTAAATGTGCTGATGTGATGCTGTAAGATTAGGCATTCAACGACCTTAAAAATCTCATAAACTTCTTAAAACCAGAAGACAGCGAAACCCGGAAAACATGCGCAAACATTTCCGTTTTACGAAATCATAAGGATTACATCCTGGGGAGTGTTTGTATTCATTGGTTATCCTGGCGACAGCAGATTGGCTGCCCGAATATAATCATCAAGTAGAAACAGCAAGATCTTCTTCAGTTAGCGTCCAGGATTCCGGACTGTTGCGTCAGAGCAGATATGTCTAGGTCCACGCTGTCTGAAAGACCTTGACCTGCAATCCTCAACCCGTCACTTCAGGGCTCAGATGGCGTGTACGTAGGTCGCTTGAATTAATAAGTATTCGAGCATGCTCCCGCATTTCAACGATTTAGTACCTAGAAGGATATGTTCCTGTCCAGATTTCAGTATGGTGAATTGTTCACTTTTTAAGTCTCGTGATTTGCTTGTATCCAGGAACTACCACCATTTGTGCATGCTACCGGGATTAGCGTAAAATGACATTTAGTTCTAGTTTGATAAATTGAATCCAGGAATCCTCAACAATCCTGTCTGTCACGACCAACATGACGATTATTCACGTATAGGTGTTCTGAAGAAAACCGACAGTTTAAATGTCCACTTTATCGGGAGCTGTAGTAGAATCATAGGAAACACTGTGATATGCAGGGCTCTCTAACAGAACCTATCAGCTCGCGTGACCGAACCGCCACTCCCGGCCCAGCTTTTGCCACGACCCCCTCCTTTTAAGAACAAGCTCTGACGTATAAAATCCTGTCCATCTGGAAATGCCGGAAGCTTCTCACTAAACCGTTATTTTCAAATGACTTGGCTTTTCAAATATCGAAATAATGATAGCAAACATTAATCCTTTTTGTTTTAGTTTGCTAGATGACATGGATGAGTGAACAGGAGATGGGAGTTCCGGAGCGTTTCAATGACCAATGTTAATGCACTGAAATACAATGTGCTCCCTACCTTCTGCCAGCACTTA